GCAATAATTAAAGTCTTGTTTTCAAATTCTTTTAAAAATTGAAACAGGGGAGGGGTATAAAATTTTCAGTAAAAAAAACTTAGAGTATACACAGTGATTTCTTTCAGGCTATAATTCTGATAAATGAGTATTAATGTGAGAAAAACTGATTTTAGAGAGTTTCCTATTTGAATAAATGTTTGTATAGGTTGCACTTTGTAAATACAGCTGTTTCTCAAACCACGCCTCTTTTGGGGAGATTTAGAATATTCATAGAAAATTAATTTTGTTTACATACTGGTTCCCAGTTATGCTCTCTGTGTTTCATCTCATAGAGACATAACTTGGGAATGTTACCAGTAAATATACATGTGCATATTGTTTACATTGAAATCTGTGGTAACCCTTCATTCGAGGTAGGGGTAGTTAAGAAAATTAGTGTTAGTTTAAACTCTGAAAAGTTCAGGGCATATAAACGTTGAAAATATGCCGCACAGCCCTATATTTTGACCTTTGAAAAAAATTGTAGTGCATATGAACTTTCAATTCTAGGATAAGATTTTGTTCAAAACTTCATAGTAAAAGTGGTACAGTTTTAGCCGTAAAAGGAGTTCCTATGGAAAATTGCATTGCCAATATTTACAGAAATGCAACCTATATAGGGTGAAAAAAGAGAACATTCAGAATTTAACCAAATTTTCTTTATCTCACAGATTTTAAAGAAATTAACTCAAATATGAAGTTTTATAAATATTTCATGAAGATTGATATAATCCTGGGCCTTAGATATGATGACTCAGCATAAATTCACAGTTTACAGTATGCATAGTTTACTTAAAGTCCTGAATACAAAATTAATTCATAATATTTGCATGTTTGTAAGTTAAATTGTTAAGAAGTGCTTATATTTACTCTTCGCAGTCATTGAAACTCATCGATCCTTCCTGAATATTATTTATGGGGTGTTTGTGTCCTGTCTTAACCCAAAAGTAAGCCGTAACACCTAAATCTGCTTTTTTGTCACCACGGCATAAAAAATACAAGCTAGAAATACAAAAATATCTCAACAAAACTTACAATAGTGTGTTCTATCCTGAATATGTACTAAATATTCCAAATTGCTAGAAACAGCAGAATAATTTAGGAAATTTGAGACCCCAGGGGCAAAAAACATAGAAAATTGCCTACCCCCTGGGTCATAAAACAGATAATTTAACCTGTAAATGCTATGATTTTATGATTTTTAAGTTCTTGATATAGAAAACAATAACTATGCTTGGAAGTTATGCAAAAATCAGATGTTAGCAGTCATCTCTATAACATTTTAAGTGAATTTATATCTCAGACTGGTATCTGCATACATACAACTATTGCAAATATGGCTTTGTTTGAACACTTCTAGTATATTTATTAGGTAAATTGTGTCAGATATATGGTTACAGATGATACTGTTGTGACAAGAATTCTAAATTGACCATTTGAGGTAGAAAATGTGAACTTTAATTGACAAATAGGCATACAGTAAGATGTGGACTGGAGACAGAGGCAGGATTGGATATTTTATATAATCTTGAATGTTGTAATGATTGACTGCTAAACATAACATTTATAGTATTCTGATATGCTTTCAATATGTTATCAAAACAGTTTTAAACAGGTTCTAGGCATTTTATATCTGAAAATATGCAAATAGGGTAAGCTGGCAATAATTAAAGTCTTGTTTTCAAATTCTTTTAAAAATTGAAACAGGGGAGGGGTATAAAATTTTCAGTAAAAAAAACTTAGAGTATACACAGTGATTTCTTTCAGGCTATAATTCTGATAAATGAGTATTAATGTGAGAAAAACTGATTTTAGAGAGTTTCCTATTTGAATAAATGTTTGTATAGGTTGCACTTTGTAAATACAGCTGTTTCTCAAACCACGCCTCTTTTGGGGAGATTTAGAATATTCATAGAAAATTAATTTTGTTTACATACTGGTTCCCAGTTATGCTCTCTGTGTTTCATCTCATAGAGACATAACTTGGGAATGTTACCAGTAAATATACATGTGCATATTGTTTACATTGAAATCTGTGGTAACCCTTCATTCGAGGTAGGGGTAGTTAAGAAAATTAGTGTTAGTTTAAACTCTGAAAAGTTCAGGGCATATAAACGTTGAAAATATGCCGCACAGCCCTATATTTTGACATTTGAAAAAAATTGTAGTGCATATGAACTTTCAATTCTAGGATAAGATTTTGTTCAAAACTTCATAGTAAAAGTGGTACAGTTTTAGCCGTAAAAGGAGTTCCTATGGAAAATTGCATTGCCAATATTTACAGAAATGCAACCTATATAGGGTGAAAAAAGAGAACATTCAGAATTTAACCAAATTTTCTTTATCTCACAGATTTTAAAGAAATTAACTCAAATATGAAGTTTTATAAATATTTCATGAAGATTGATATAATCCTGGGCCTTAGATATGATGACTCAGCATAAATTCACAGTTTACAGTATGCATAGTTTACTTAAAGTCCTGAATACAAAATTAATTCATAATATTTGCATGTTTGTAAGTTAAATTGTTAAGAAGTGCTTATATTTACTCTTCGCAGTCATTGAAACTCATCGATCCTTCCTGAATATTATTTATGGGGTGTTTGTGTCCTGTCATTAACCCAAAAGTAAGCCGTAACACCTAAATCTGCTTTTTTGTCACCACGGCATAAAAAATACAAGCTAGAAATACAAAAATATCTCAACAAAACTTACAATAGTGTGTTCTATCCTGAATATGTACTAAATATTCCAAATTGCTAGAAACAGCAGAATAATTTAGGAAATTTGAGACCCCAGGGGCAAAAAACATAGAAAATTGCCTACCCCCTGGGTCATAAAACAGATAATTTAACCTGTAAATGCTATGATTTTATGATTTTTAAGTTCTTGATATAGAAAACAATAACTATGCTTGGAAGTTATGCAAAAATCAGATGTTAGCAGTCATCTCTATAACATTTTAAGTGAATTTATATCTCAGACTGATATATATCTGCATACATACAACTATTGCAAATATGGCTTTGTTTGAACACTTCTAGTATATTTATTAGGTAAATTGTGTCAGATATATGGTTACAGATGATACTGTTGTGACAAGAATTCTAAATTGACCATTTGAGGTAGAAAATGTGAACTTTAATTGACAAATAGGCATACAGTAAGATGTGGACTGGAGACAGAGGCAGGATTGGATATTCTATATAATCTTGAATGTTGTAATGATTGACTGCTAAACATAACATTTATAGTATTCTGATATGCTTTCAATATGTTATCAAAACAGTTTTAAACAGGTTCTAGGCATTTTATATCTGAAAATATGCAAATAGGGTAAGCTGGCAATAATTAAAGTCTTGTTTTCAAATTCTTTTAAAAATTGAAACAGGGGAGGGGTATAAAATTTTCAGTAAAAAAAACTTAGAGTATACACAGTGATTTCTTTCAGGCTATAATTCTGATAAATGAGTATTAATGTGAGAAAAACTGATTTTAGAGAGTTTCCTATTTGAATAAATGTTTGTATAGGTTGCACTTTGTAAATACAGCTGTTTCTCAAACCACGCCTCTTTTGGGGAGATTTAGAATATTCATAGAAAATTAATTTTGTTTACATACTGGTTCCCAGTTATGCTCTCTGTGTTTCATCTCATAGAGACATAACTTGGGAATGTTACCAGTAAATATACATGTGCATATTGTTTACATTGAAATCTGTGGTAACCCTTCATTCGAGGTAGGGGTAGTTAAGAAAATTAGTGTTAGTTTAAACTCTGAAAAGTTCAGGGCATATAAACGTTGAAAATATGCCGCACAGCCCTATATTTTGACCTTTGAAAAAAATTGTAGTGCATATGAACTTTCAATTCTAGGATAAGATTTTGTTCAAAACTTCATAGTAAAAGTGGTACAGTTTTAGCCGTAAAAGGAGTTCCTATGGAAAATTGCATTGCCAATATTTACAGAAATGCAACCTTGAAACATTTTACTGAATCGAAACAAGAATCGATTTTCGATCCGGCCTAGAAATCAAATTTAAATTTAAACTGTAAACTGATGTTTAGATGCAGTCCTAAGAATGTTCTTATAGATAATGTTCGATTCTATTCAATATGCAATAAGAGAACAACAAGTTTAATTTTCTGGAAAAATTTGTATCATTCTAGCCAATAAAATCTTCCCCACATCATAAAACAATTAATGTGAACCATTCGCATACGTTTAAATATTAAGATGGCGTGAATAATGTATGTAATAATTCGCAACGTGATTTGAAACAACAAGGGTTCAAGTCAATTTAAAGATCCTGATGGGAAGCTACATACTATAAACCATTAGAGCTGTATTTAATTATACTAACCCTGACCCAATCTGCATGTTACCCGGCAACAATTATGAAACGCTTAGTCATTTTATTCTGGTGTGTACCGAAATGAAAACTACGAATGCCATTTTTGCTGGAAATTATTTAAGTATACAGTGATCTATATGCCAAATATGAACTTAATACTGATTTTGATATATGAACAGTCCTAATCAACCCATACTGTTTTGATTACAATACAATACGACAAGAGAACAACAAGTGTCATTTTTTAAATACTCATTAAAAAAAACCCGATCATCTACTTTTGAAATGCCAAGAAAATATTACGTCAAGGATAAGAGTTGCGCGTGTAATTGGAATTTGAAGGGTTGTTTATCATCCATGTTGCAAAGATCACTTCTTGATACTATTTTAGCAGAAAAGATGATCTTGAGGTGATCGTAAGCACTTAAACTACTTCATGCTACTGGCCATGGTTTGTTAAATTTCATCTCTAATATAGAGCACAGCTGAGCAGACAGCTGATGAAGGTAACTTGTCTTCACGTGTATTTCACACGTAAATCGTTACTTCATGTATACATAAATATAAACATGTCCTTATTCGTAAATTTACCAATTATTAAATTAATCTAACGTTAAAAATACCTGTATCAGTCATTTAATATTCCTTCTATGCATTAATTGCTCAAGTACACAAATACAATCGCACCACATGTCTTATTATCAATACTTAAGTGGTAAAATCTGAAAATACACAAATAAAGATAAAATAGTATATGCGATTTGTTTCTCAATATCTGTCATGATATGTACAAGGCTCAGCAACAGGGTTAAATATATATTCAAAATCTATATTATATATATTATTTCATGTTGCATCTAGATCTGTACATAGAGAAAAGGAAAGGAAAAAGAGGCGCACCTATTGTTAAATAAAGTCATAAAACTATATACTTTAAACCTAAGACATCTCAATTATATGTCTGTTGCAGGACTGTTTCACTATTAGATTGCTGTCATAGAGGTTTACTAAAAAATTTTGCACTCAGTTATATCAGCATGGCTGCATTTGTATTTTATACTTGTATAGTTGATTGCTGGATAAAATAGCTTATTAGAATAGACTAAATTATTGAATCTATATAACGAATCAAGCAAATAAAAACTATAAACAATTGCAGCTAAAATACAGTCAGTATTTCTAAGGATTTACATTACTCCTTTGAATTAGAACAACAATAAAATACTTGCAAAAGTATGTCGAAGAAAATATGAAATTTAAAAATTAAACTGAAAAAAAAAATACACTAGCACACTTCATACTTGAGAATTATATTATTGCATCATTTAATTGCGAACAGGTTAAAATAAAGTTAAATTCATCACCAATATCTCATGAACTACAAAGTTTACACTATCGATTTTCCATTATTCCACCTCCCAGATTCGATAGGGAGTTTAAGACTGAGTGTACTGACTTTACATAGAATTATAATGTTTTTATTAGCTACATGTAGGATTATGAAATATTTTTCACGTTCTCTCTCCTGTCAAGAATGTATACCCAATAGCATTTCTTTTGTATTACATGATACAATGTATGCATGTCCGAAAATTAGTCGGAGACCAATTTTTAGATTTGGAAAAGTCAGGTACGTACTTCCCAGAATACATGATATTCGTAACAAATAATATATCCGTTTATCAGAGTATTTAAGCTTCATTTGTTTCTAGTAACTCAGGCTTCAGTACAGGACTCTTACAGTTTTAAGGAATTTATTCCTCCTCCAAAACATCAATATTGAAAAAATTTACCAGCATATTGATTCGTGATAATTAGTATAACGATCAAGATTACTATTACAGTGTAACTACCACATGTCAAGATAAGAATCATTTGACATCTTACTGATGAAAGATATTAATTATCCGAAATATTTAACATTTGTTCATGATTTTTTTTTTTGTGATGTTGTACCCTTTTAGACTTGCTTATTATATTTTATATTTTGCTGTGTACTGTATCATAATTATATGATCCTTCGCCCCGTAAGATTTATCGTTGGCTATCATTCAGACATTTAATATGTATATTAACAAACAGCCTTCGTCAGTGTTAATGTCAATAATTTTGTATATATTTATATATATGTTGTGCTGATAAATATAATTAATATATAAATTATATATATAACAAATATACACCAAATGGAAACAACTGATTAACCAAAAATAAATTACTTAATGGATGTTAATGTTTAGTTCTTCATTGGTGGAACGTATTGCATAAAGAAATCACCATACTTCAACAACTTATTCTGCTAACAATAGAGACATCACAAGTTTTAGCTTTCTAAAATACTTTAAAATGCTTCGCTGTATACTACTATAATTTAACTAAGATATCGTTTATGTGGTTGTTTAAGTATTGGAAAGGTGTTATTTATTTCTTGTATGCTTCGTGTTAAAATAGATATGAGCTTTTAGATATTTCAACTAAGTATAGATTTTAACAGTAAAATGAATGATCGCATCTTGATACCGTCAAGAATCCTATAATTGTATACATCTAGATTTTGAAGTCTATAAATTATTTATATATTTAATCACTTATTAAAATTAAAGTGTAAAACAGAGTCGAATTATACCAAAGGACATTCGAACTCATTGGTCAAAAATAAACTGACAACGCCTTGGCAAAAAGAAAAGTCGAAACCCGGAAATTTAGATACAATCTGGGTAAACTAATCGATCCTTTAAATAAAGTTTTTCTAAAAGGTAACAAATTCAACAATGTAATTAGATCTTTACATATTGTTTTTATTGGTATGAATATTGATATTGTTATCAGTAAATAAAATCCAAGCTAATATTATTGTTATAAATATATATAAGCTGTGTCACAACTCTAGATTCTACTGACGTGGAAAGGTAAAACTAGGCCACAGAAAGCTGAATTTTTAGTTCAGTATAGGTGGCCGAGTGGTCTAGAGCGATGGCCACAGTGCAGGCGGTGTTGTCTCGATATCACAATAGCATGATTTCGAATCCCGGCGAGGGAAGAACAAAAATTTGATTCCGCAAATTTGCAGATTAAACATTGTTGTGCTGATATTCAGAGTAATTATGAATATAAAATGTGTTTTCAGCCGTGTGTCACCTTCACTGGTGATCCAATGGATGGATTTGTCGTAGAGTTGTCACTTGTTTAGACGTTCTTATATATATATATGCACATTCACGGTTCTACAATCTGTCGATACCTGTATTTTGGCCTTGCGCAAGGTCATGTTTTTCTCTAACTGTTAATGATGTCTATAAACTATATCAATTGGATGTTGGATGTGTACTTTAGTCTTAGATACATGATTTTTTATTAGTTGTAATTGGCTTTGAACTAGTTGTCAGTAACTGCGAGTAATCTCAGATCTGTACTTAGTGTCTTTTTTGTTGTAGGGTTGTATAAATACTCTGCCATGTCCGGCCTGTGTTTTTGTTACTTGTTTCTGCTTTGTATCGATCTGATGAGTTTAGCTCTTTTCAACTGATTTGTATAGTTTGCTCATATGTTGTAATGTAACACCACTTTCCAAGGTTAGGGAAAGTGTTGGGCGATCGCTAACATGTTTAATCCCACCATATTCTGTATGTACCTGTCCCAATTAAGGAGCCTGTAATTCAGTGGTTGTCATTTGTTGCTGTATATCATATTTGTTTTTCGTTCATTGTTTTTTAACATAAATCAGGCCGTGTGTTTTCTCGTTTGAATTGTTCTATATTTGTCCTTTCGGGAACTTTATAGCTGTCTTTGCGGTATTGGTTTTGCTTATTGTTGAAGGCCGTACGGTGACCTATAGTTGACATTAGTCCCTTGTGTAGAATTGTCTCATTGGTAATTACTAGTATACAACATCTACTTATTTTCATAAAAGGCAAACAACTGTATACAAAACACAACATAGAAAACTAAAGAATGAGCAACACGAACCCCACCAAAGACAGGGTATGATATCAGGTTCTCCCGAGGGATAAGTAAATCCTGCTCCACATGTGGTACCCATTGTGTTGCTCGTGTTTGTACATACCCGTTGATAAATCTAATACGGTAGGTCACGCTTAGTGAAAAGGAGGACGGGATCGTGGTAACGATCCGTAGTCATCTGTGAAACAGATATTTCATAACGGACGGGGAAGCAACTCGTTCGTAAAGTTTTCGAAGGAACTCTAGGTTTTATAGCTTCCTTGTAAGAGGAACCCTCTATCAAGGAAATCATGATTGGAAACGCAAGCCCTGGAATATCGTATCAACTGGAAGATATAAACTTCAAATGCGGGAATGTTACTACATAGGAATGGACACTCCTTAATTTGAAAGCTGAAATCAACTCTTTTGTTCTCAATTTACTACATGCTTTTATAAGGAGACAGTATATGATTTAACAAAGTGGATGCAGTGTGTTGTAAATAAACTTTAAGCTTTTATTGGTGGAAGATTAGAGAGAGTCATTTTTTTTTATGATATACTGTGAATACGATATTGAAAATTATTCAGTTTGGTAGATTTCATTACTCCAACCTTCGGAGTTGCGCCTTTACTGGCAGAAGTTATTATGATGATGTTAATTTCGAATTATAAAGAGATTAGCAACACATATAATTACTTACATGCATGTTAACTATAAACTATAAGAAAAAAGTTTAAACTGGATGTAAATTGATTAGATTTTTTAAAATCTGTTGTATAAAGGCAAATCACAAAAATACTGAACTCCGAAGAAAATTCAAAAAGGAAAGTCCCTAATCAAATGGCAAAATCAAAAGCTCAAACACATCAAACAAATGGATAACAACTGTCATTTTCCTGACTTGGTACATGCATTTTCTTATGTAGAAAATGGTGGATTGAACCTGGTTTTTTATCTAGCTAAACCTCTCACTTGTATGACAGTATTATATTCAATCTATATGATATTTTTTTTATACAATTTTATACCTATATTTCTTAATGTTGGCATGAGTTGACTGAAACCAAAAATATACCAATTATGTACCTGAGCTACTATTCCTGGTTTTTCTGGTTTTGTTATATTTAAAAATGAAATTCTAATTACGACATCAAATGGAAATTAAAGTTTTGGGGAAACCATTGATTGCATATCTCTATTTATATTGCTTTGTAATTTCGAGTATTAAGTTTCAAAGACGCTATAAAATTCCCAATTCTTTTCTATATGTTATCTCTGTTTTCCGAACAATAAAATTTAAAGTTCATATAGTTGTATTTATTTGAATGAACACAAACTATATATATATGTCAGACATGCATGTGACACGTGAAGGTATATTTATAATTTTGTTTTGTTGAAAGAATCGTGAAAACGGAGAAACAGAGTTGATGAAGGGAGGAAGAAGATAACAACGAGTCTGAAAATAATTTTGAAATGTTTTCATTTTTGGAAAATGCTACATGTACTATTGTCCGTAATATAAGCTTGTGCACTGCAAAAAAACATAAATTTGAAAAAAAATCTTGATATGTGCTAATAGTAGATCAAACTGAAATTTCGTACAATACTAAATGAATGCTAGTACCTATGTAACATAGAAATAGCATCGCTTTCATTGGTTTTTGTTTTTATATAAACTGTTGCTGGTAGGTCTCCATTGGTGTATTAAAAAAGCTGACAGTAAGTCAGAACGAATCAAAGTTTCGAGATCATCACTTCTCAACACGCAGAATTCAA